TATTTTTTTAATATTGAATTTTGTGAGTTTTCTATACATTCTGAATATAAATCCATCATCACGCATATGATTTACAAATATTTTCTCCCACCCTGTGAGTTGTCTTTTTAACTTTCTTGATATGTTTTTTGAAGTATACTGCTGTTCTTTATTTTTGAACTTTTTAATTTTTAAAATTATGCAAGGGATATTTTTAAAAAGAAAACAAAATTTCCCTATCAAAATAATTAGGGAATAACAGTGGCTAATATATAGGTATTATGATCTTAAAAGAATAGGCAAAATGTTATTCAGAGTAGAAGTTATGGACAAAAAGATTTTTACAAAGAAGAAACAAACAAAAGGACAAAACATTCTTTTCAGTGAGCAAAAGATACTGGTAATATAAGTGAGACAAGTTAGCATTTATCTTAAAATATTTTTATGCAAGGAATATTTACACACAATGAAAAATCAGAAGTTTTTGAGTAACATAAAAAGTAAAAGAAAAAAATATATAATCTCACATTCAAAGGTAATCACTGTGAACATTTGGGATTTAGTCTTTTTATTCAGTGAGATCACATTATTCATTTCTTATTTGACCCTTTATAAATCTCATAAATTATGAATAGCTTTCCATATTAGTAAATATATTTCTACAGTGTCGTTTTTATGTTGCATGGTGTGCACATTTAATTGGATAGACAGTTTACCCAAATGGTTCCTTATTGTTGGATACTTAAGTTGTTTCCAATTTTTTGCTGTTTAATAAAGTTAAATCTTCATGCATGTCCATGAATATTTTCTTTGGATAGATTTCTATGATAAGATTGTTGAGTCAGAATGTATGTCTTTTTTTTTTTTTAGCAGTGGTGCTGGGATTGGATGCAGGGCCTCATGCATGCTAAGTATGCTTTCTACCCCTGAGAAACATCCTCTGTATGCACATTTTTAAGGTGATAAAAACATGCTGCTCATTTGCTTTCCAGAAAGACTCTGGCCAGCTATGCTCTGCCAGTAGTTTGTGGAAGTAAATCCTTGGCCAAGAAGCTAACCTGGTCCACAAAAACAAAACAAAACAAAACAAAACAAAACAAAACAAAACAAAACAAAACAAAACAAAACAATACTATTATCAGTTAATATCAAGAAGCACTCACTTTGCATTTATGTGGTAGGCACCATTCTAAGCACTTAATGTATGCTGACATTTATTCCTTTCCAAATCTGTCAAATTAATGTTATTTTCCCATTTTACAATCAAGATAATTAAGGAACAGAAAGCTTAAGTAGTTGCTTAAGGTCATACAGGTAGGAATACAGGGTTTGAATCCTGACAGTTTGGTTCCTGAGTCTCAATCAGTGTTCAAACCTCTGTTATGCTGCTTGGGTGGATTTTTTCTCCTTAGTTACTCCTATTGAGCTGTCCTTGCACTCCGGAATAACTCACCTTGAGCAGGGCAGATCTTCTGAAGCAATCTGTTCATATTTTATTTAAGATCTCTAGATCTCTATTCAGGAATACGACTCTGTGTGTGTGTGTGTGTGTGTGTGTGTGTGTGTATGTGTGTGTGTGTTTATGGGGGAGTGTTTTTTGTTAGGTTTGGTTTCATTAAATGAACAGATAAAATTTTCAACTTTTCTATGTTGTAGAGCAAAATATGATTTTATTCTTTGAAAGACTCATAGAACTTTCTCCAAAAGAAACTCTTTTAGTCTGATACCATTTTTGGAAGTAGTTCTTTGAGATCCCTTCCACTTTCCTTCATGGTTACTGATCTCTTACATTTTCTATTTTTTTTTCCATTTCTGGGTATTAAACCCAAGGCCTTTGTGTTGAATTACAGCCCCAAATCTTTTCTCTCTTTAAAAATTTTTTTGAGACAGGGTCTCATTAAGTCACTTGCCCAGGCTGGGCTTGAATTTGCAAACTTCCTGTCTCAGCTTCCCAGAGTACAAGGAATATAGTGTAGACCACCATACCTGGCTGTATTTTTACTATTTTTAAATTGATTTTGGAAATTCACATTTTTCCACAGAATCACCCAGATTTTCCAAGATTTTGTCATTCATTTAAGCCTGTCTGTTTTTTTTCTTTTGGGGGACATTGAGTCCAGATGTTCTACCACTGAGCTACAACCTCCCTTATTTGATCTTTTTCACTCCTGATAGTCTACCTACTTTAAAAAATTAGGTTTCATACATATTTATCTCTTTTATTGGTCTTTTGAATACTTGGTTTGGGGTTTAGTTATTATCTGTAGTATTCTCATTTCTAATATATTAATTTCAATTTGCAGTTTTCTATGGTTTTCCTGATCTTTCCAGTCTCTTGAATTATCATATTATTTATTTTCATTCTTTTTGTATGAAAGTGAAAAGCATTAATTTTCATTTGAGTACAGGCTTGTCTATAACCCATGCATTTTGGGGCATGTACCTCTCATTGTTGGTATTTTCTAAGTACATATGATTTTAGTTTTGGTTTTCTTTTTGACTTAAGAAGGTTTTAACAGTATGCCTTTAAATTTCTAAAGGATTAGGATTTTAATTTTAAATTTTCATTACATTCGAGCTTTATTGCAGAATAGTTAGAAAATGTGACTGATATGGGACTTTATTGAGATTTGCCTTGTGGCTTTTTTTTTTTTCTAAGTGCTTCAAGGGTGCTGGAAAAAAAGGTATATTTTCTGTCTTCAGTTTGCATAATGTGTCTATTTAGTTTTCAACATCAGTGATATTGGAGTCTCTGTTTCTTGTTCATTTTAGAGTTTATTTGATTTTACAAGGCTTTACCCATAACTCTCGTGTTCCTGTCTTTACTTTGTACAAAACATACCTGTTTTTTGCCCTTCTGTACCTGACTTATGACCTCAAATTTTAAGTATTTGAGCAGGGAAAGAAAATAAAGATTTGGGGAGAATCAAACAGTTAAATTAGGGGCTGGGGATTTAGCTCAGCGGCATAGTGCCTGCCTGGTAAGTGCAAGGTCGTGAGTTTGATTCCCAGTACCGGGAAAAAAAAAAACAAAACAGTTAAATTAAATTCCATTCTAACAATTTCTACCTAAGTGTGCATATTTACCTGTGTGTCCATGTATGTGTCTGTGTATTTTTGTGGGAGTGATTCAGCATATAAATCTCCCTAGGGCATGACTGTACTTATATTCTTCTGTGTACTGGTCATTGTGTGTTTGATGTGATATCTGTATATATGGGTTCATCTATAGCATCTTTCTCCTTAAATAAAACTTAAACATCAGAACTAGGGAGTGCCATGTTCTATGCTGTTTTTTTGTGAAGTGGCTGTAAGTCAGAAAACTGTACTTCCCTATATCTTAACCCAGCTGAATCTCTTGTTTCCTCTCTCCTGGCTGCAGAAGATCCTCCTGGTAAGTGGGTTCAGTAATGACAGCCTCACTCTGGCACCCATTTTCTGCTGGGTGGGGACCACATCTGGCCACACCAACATGTTAGGGCCATACTTCCGGGGTCGCAGAGACTCTTATCGCCTCCTGCTGCCCTCTCCCCAGTGTGATTATCCTTGTCCAAGTCCCTTGGCCTGGCTCCTGCTTGTGCTCATCTTTTATGAGCAGGAACCCAAAGGACTTAGCACTGGCTTAAAGGGAGCTGCCATTATTTAAAAAAACTCAATGATAGATATTTATTTCATTTCAAAGACTTAGAGGAGCTTCCTGGCAGATCCCCTAGCCACCTTCCAGGATGGCTCTCTCAACACCTTGCCCTTGGCCCTTCCAGTTAGACTGATGAGCTTCAGTGGCATGAGAGGTACAGGGCAAATACCAGTTGTAGGTGGGTTTCCAGGCAAGCATAGGTGGCATGACCATCCCATCTTCAGGAAGCTTACTGACTCCCTGGGTAAGAGGGCACATTACTTAGGCAGTACGGACCTGGAGGAGTGTTCTGTTCACAAGAGCCAAGAAGCCTATGGCTATATCCTGTGCAGGTGGAGAAGTCAGTATTTGCTATACAGGCAGCAGGCCCTTCTTGCAATCATAATGAGTGGAGGAAGGAAAGGACAAGGGGTGAATTATCAGAACTTCCTCTCTGCTTGTCAAATTCCCCACATTTAGCAGGTCTTTTGAGTAAAGCACACTTGGTAAGTAAGGAATGCTGCCTTGATTTCACCCTTGGAAATAAAAGTTCTGATTTTCAATGCAGGGGGAGGAAGGCAGGTTAGCTCTTTTGGGTCTGAGCTTTCCTGGATCTACTGTACTTTGTTTTATAAATAATATATTATTGACATTTCCCCCAGACTACCTTAGCGTCTTAGTTACTTTTCTCATTGCTAAAGCAAAGTACCCAGTACTCAAAGTTTGCTCAGTTTGTAGAGGTTTCAGTTCATAGTTGGCGGGCTCCAAGGCAAGGCAGCATGGCTGAGGAGAGACAGTCCATGGCAGGTCAGGCAGGAAGCAGGAGCCTGCCTTCTTTCCGTCCCCTTATATTCCATCCAGGCTACAAGCCCATTGATTGGTGCCACCCACACCCAGGGTAGGGCGTCCCGCTTCAGTAAATCCATTCAGCAGCACTCAAGAACTGTGCTAACCCAACTAGGGGACTAATCCAGATATCACACACCCTTAATCCATATTCCACCTCTGAAAAGTCCCACCTGTGAGCTCATGAGGCTTTGAGGGGACACATAGATACAAGCCAGAGCACGTAGCACCCTCCAACCATCAGTATGTTCTTGCAGTGTGGGGGTATCATGATGATTATACTTACTTCATAGAAAGGAAAGGGGTTTTGAGAGCCTGACGAACACATGAATGAGGGCAGAGCTAGGGGAAGAATCTTTGCCTCTAATACCTGGCTGGTTTTGAAATCTTCTCCAGTCTGTGTGGCTTTGCCTTTGGAGAAGCAGGGGGTTTCAGCTCCCTACTACCCTAGACTTTCGCTACAGGTAAGACTTCAAGTTCCAGGCTGGCTCAGTGGCCTTGGGAAATATTCCATTCAGAAGCACCTTGCTTCTTAATCTCTTCCTTTTTCTCTGTCCAGGAAGAAGAGTTCATCGACTGGTGGAGCAAATTCTTTGCCTCCATAGGGGAGAGGGAAAAGTGTGGCTCCTACTTGGAGAAGGATTTTGACACCCTAAAGGTGAGGCCTCGCTCCAGAATAGTTCCTTTCAGTCCAGCAGTCACTGGGCACCTGTAATGACTAGGGGAGAGGCAGCAGAAAGAGAAGGTGTGAGGCTGATGCATCCTGATGAGCTCATTAGGGTGAGAGAAATCACCCACTAATTTGGAGCAAGAAGTCAATGTGAGCTGGAATAATTAAGATAGTGTTTCCAGGTAAAAGATGAACCATACTGAAGTGTTTATAGGTGAAATGATCCTTTGGATTTGCTTTAAAATAACCCTTATCCCCCTCCCCAAAGTAGAGAAAGATATATGGTATGGGTGGCCCTCTAACAGATTTTTAAAATGCTAAAAATCATTAAAGTTGCAAATCATTGAGTACTGTTAATCTTGGAGGTAAGTACCTAGGGATTTGTAGTACTTTTCTGTTAATTGAACTTTTTATGTAATAGAAAATTTATATTAATGTAAAAAGTAAAATCAGCTTGAGAATGTACCTCTGATCCCTGACCCCTATAAATGGGATAGAAGTTACTTAGCAAACATAAAAATATGGTAAACCTTGTTTACCATAAAAAAAAAACAGATGAGTCAGCCAAATTTGGGGAAATTCTACAAATACAATTATAGTTTTAAAAAGTAGACTGCATTTAACAAAGATGACCAAGGTGACTCAAGAATTGTTCCCACAAAGGAGTTGGACAGTTTCCATTATAGGCTTGCCAGATAAAATTCAAGACGTCAGGTTAAATTGGACTTTTAGTTAAACAAAGAATGAATTTTTAGTATAAGAATGCTTTAAATATTGTATGAGACATAGGTACAGGTACCTAAATGATTTATTTATCTGAAGTTCATATATAATGGGGTTTTATATTTTCACTTGCTTCTTCTGGAGTATGAGCAAGAATCCTAGAATATAAATGAGATTCTGCACCCCATGATTAGCCCTCGGCTTGGACAGGAGTGCATGAGAGGTTGGCACAGGCTGTTAAGTCCCTGGGAAGGGCCTAAAGAGCTCGGAGCTCCTTAAAAGGGGATGGACAAGTGAGAGCTGAGGCTAGTTGAGGTGGTGGGTGGCCTGGGCTTTCAGCTCACTCTGCTGATTGAAAGCCCTGGGTGAAGACTTTGAGGGTGATTTCATAAGGTGGTAAATATCTCTCATACTTTGGAAGCTGCTTGGTAAATTGTCCCAGGAGACCTGGCTGCTCAGGGTTGAGGCCACAGGCAGCAGCAGTGGCTCCTCAGGCATTAAGCTCTTCATTGACTTCCTAGTTGGGTGTGTGAGGCTGGGCAAAGAGACAGAACTATTTGTGTACCAGGAAGAAGGTCCGACCCATTAGGTCTGGCATGTGGTACTGCAGCCTTGCCAAGAAATGAGACAAACCAAGCAAGCATGAGGACTGCTGCCAGGGTGGCCCACGGCCCTGGCCCCTTGCTGCTCCCTAGGATGCCGGATGCTGAATTGGCACCCAGCCCTCCAGCTTGACCTCTCCAAGGAGGTCTCCAACAGCATCCAAGTAAAAATAGGCTATCCAGAGCAAAAGGCATTCAAACTATTTCTGGGGGAAAAACTAAACCTGGAAGGAACACTGGTCCTTTAAGGATAAGTAAATAGAAGAAAACCACCACCACCACACCACCATGGGTCTTTGAAAAACAGCCTACAGCATAATGGAGAGAATGGAGTACACAATAGGTAGAGAAAGACACATTTTGTAAATCACTAGCACAGAGGAAAAAAACCAATGCATAGTCTAAATAGCAAAATAAAGAAAACAAAAGATTAAACAAGAAAGCATTAAAAACAGAAGTCCTAGAAAAAACATAGTAGAAAAAGATCAAACCATGTTAGTTTTCTTAATAAGCAAATGTGGATTAAATGGTCCTATAAGTTATAAGGATTCTTAGACTATATTAAAAATTGAAAGTCATTAAGCTGTCTTTAAGAGACACCCAAATGCAATTTATAAAGACAAAAAATAAGTACTTCGGCAAATAAAATAAGGTACCTAAATAAAAGGGAAGCATATAGAATTTAATGTACAAAATAAGCCAAAGACTTTTTTATATAAGTAAAAGATCTATATTTCAATGAAAACACTCCCAAAACTTAGAAATACTTAAAGTAAAAAAGAATATATAAATTAATACCTCATATAAATTAAGGCACAAAATGCAGAAATCAAAATCAAATAGGGATTTTAATGTTATTTTCTCTTTGACCAGCCAATGAATAAACAAGAAAATAAAAGATCTGAACAACAAGGTAAATATTTTTAAAGCTATATCAAAGTTGCAGTGTTGCATGAAGCTAAAATTATAGCTTTAAAATAGAGAATAAAAATAATAAAAAATAGAGAATACATTTTTTCCCTAGTGTTCAGAGAATACTTACAAAATTTGGTCACATGTTAGTTTAGTAAGTTACCAAAAGCAGAAATCATACAAGACAGATTAAAATGCAATAAAATGAAAAATTAATAACAAAAGTTTAAACAAAAAGTCCACCCAGCTGGAAATTTAAAAGTATTTTATTAGGACTTCCAGTACAGCCATGCTGCATAAGTCAGCATTTTTCCCTTTTTCTCTTGGAAATAATTCAAACCCACAAAATCCATTTTTCAGAAAAATTGGAAACAAATAAAAGCTGCAGGCTCCAAAATATAAGAAGGGCTGCCCAAGGACAACTGAAATTGGGTTGAGGCCACTCAGCAGTAATTGAGGAGAAGATGCATGAAGGTTGCTGAAAGCTCATGGGGCAGTGGGTTTTGTAAAGCCCCAGCAGAAACATACTTCCAAGTGGAAGAACGCTGATAGTTCTTTAAGACAGGTGATGGTTACATGGAAGTTTATTATTCATTCTCTTTTGTACACTTGGAAATTTTCATAATAAATAGTTTCAAAATACAGTTCTTGAAATTGAGGTTGCACCATGAAGTATAAAAGTTAATCCTGTTGTTTTTTAATACTGATGGTGTGGGAGGTTAGAGGCAGGGTCAAGTAGATGACAGAAGCCTCCTAGACCTGGTTTGGTTCAGAAAAATCTAGGAAAGTGGAGCTACCCAGAAATTGCACGGAAGAGCCATAGTTGTAGGAAGCAGTCTGTCTCTGTGGTGGGAACAAAGGAAATAGTTGGTGTGGGAAAATCCATTTAGTGACAAGTCATAATAAAAGAAATGGCACTGCATTAATTTAAAAATTGGATGAAAGATAAAGAAGGAGAATAGAAATCAAAACTTGCCAATAGAATAGGATATATGTTGACCAGTAAAGGAGCAAATGAAATGAAATATTTTGCTGTGAACTTTTTAGAAACAGGATTATAAAAATGCAAACAAAAGTGAAAGCGCTCAAGGGATGGTGAGTGGTGATGATCTATGAGCTGATAAGATGTGGGAAAGAAGAAGAAAAAACGACACTGGTAGGAGCACAGGGAGGAATGCACATGGAAAACATATTTGGAGGCATAATGGACAGAAATAAAAGTAAACAAAATGAAATGGAAGTGAAGAAAAACTCATAAAGGAATAAAGAGAAGATGACAGATTGAAGTCAGGGAGAGGAGACCCAACTTCTGCATAAGTGGAATCTCTGAGGAAGATAATAAAAACAGTGAAGAAAAACAAATAAGCATATAACCATCAATCAAACTGCACTGGAAGGAAAAAAAAATTTGAATATACATTTGAAAAGGCCCTCTGTGTATGAAGAAAAATTGACCCAGATTGATTTACCTGAGAAATATTCTAGTTACCTTACTATAGAGATAAAGAAAGAAAATCTTGGGTAGTCATACCTCCTTTCTACTCCCTGGGAAAAAGAAACCCAAGTCATTTAAAATAAGAGTTAAATCAAAGTGGCATCAGTTTCTTCATAATATTCCATATTCAAGGACCATAAAACATCACATGTAAGATCATCAGGGAAACACAGGGTGACCTGAGGATTTTACATTCAGCCAAGGTGCCCTTCAAGCATAAAGGCTACAGCTGGCTACCTCGGAATCTTCAGGAACTAAGGTTACATGGCATCTGTGAACTCATCTTGAGAGACTGCCACCAGGGGAAGAACTTCAGCCACTAGGCAGGAACTGGGAAAACCACAACCAAAAGGCTGGTTGTGACTATATTTTTATCTTAGAACCATCTCAAAAACAAGTGGAAGGTGAGGGTAACAAGACAGAATGCAAATACTGTAAATACTAAAAATGTGAAAATGTAAAACTGACAAAAATTAGGGGGAGAAAGAAGATGAGATGTAGAGCAAGGACATTAATTTCCATATTATAAAATAAATGGAGTTGATAATTTTAAAAAAATTGGCAAATCACATAGTAGGAGCATAAGTAAATGTTAAGCAAATAGTATAAGCTTAAGGAAGATAACACAGCATGGATTTGTGATATACGGTAACATCTTGTATGCAAAAATACTTTCCCTAAAGACAATGTATTATATAAATCATATAAATTTATAATATGAAATATATAATATAGAATAATAATATAAACTTATAATGCTAGAACATAAAACTAAGGTCAAAAGCCTATCATATTAATACATGTAATGTCAGTCACATATGAAATTTAAATCAGATCTCAAAGCAATAGCTAATTCTAAAATAGATTTATGAAGGTAAAAAATAAAAAAATTGGGAAAATGTGTACCAGGCACATATAAATTAAAAGAAAACAAAAGGCTAAATTAAAAACAAAAAAGCCTAAATTATAAAAACAAAAGCCTGAATTATAAACAAAACTTCAAATTAAAAGAAAAAAAAATGCTGCATGGTGTGGCGGCTCATGCCTGTAATCCCAGCTGAGGCAAGAAGATCACTGTGAGTTTGTGGCCAGCCTGGGCTACTAAGTGAGTTTAAGGACAGCCTGAACTGCGTAGTGAGACCCTGTCTCAAAAAGACAAGGAAAAAATAAAAACCACAATGTTAATACTAGATGAGAGGGTTTGAAAACCTGAAGGTTCCGAAGATTAAAAGAGACAAAGGATGGTAGTTTATAATGCTAAATGGTGCAAGTCCAAGAAAAGCAGTTGGGTGAATATCTATGTGCTAAACAATAGAACATCTTCATTTACAAAACAGAAGTTATAGGATATAGGAACCAATAGAAGCACACTGGAATATAGGGGGAGATTTTAATTCACATCTCTCAATTCATGTCAGATCCAGAGAGAAAATATGAGAGAATGTAGAAGACCTGATATAATTATTAACCCAGTTGAACTTGGTAGCCTGAAAATCAAAACTACATCCATGCTACATTTACCAAAACTGACCGTGTAACACGTCATGAAGAAAGCCTTAATACGTTTTGAAAAGTGGCAGTATCATAGTGACCATTTTCTGATTATAATTAGAAATTAGGGACAATTATATTAGAAATTAGGGACAAGATCAAAGGCCCCCATACCTCTTCTATCTGGAAAACTAAAAAAAAATATAAACTCATCTCTTTTAACAATTTTTGGATGAAGGAGAAAATACAAACCATAATGGCAGACTATCATGGAAACAGTGATAAAATACTAGATGTTACAGATAAAGTGGTATTTAGAGGACATTTATAGCCTTAAGAAATTACGTTAATTATAATTGAAGGAAGCTGGGTATGGTGGCACATGTCTGTAATCCTAGCACTTAGGAGGCTGAGGCAGGAGGATCATCAAGTTCTATCCCAAACTGGGAAACTTAGTGACTTAGTGAGATCCTGTCTCAAAATAAAAAAAAATGAAAATGGCTGAGAATGTAGTTTAGTGTGAAAACAATGAGTTAATCCCCACTACCAGAAAAAAAAAGAAAAGAAGAAAAATTAATTAAGCATTCAACTCTGGGACCAAATAGTAAAAATAAAACTGTAATTATAGAATGCCAAGTAAATGAAAATGAAAATATTGTGTATCAAAACAAATGAGGAAATGATAATAGTAAGCAGAGGCAATTTCACAGCAGTAAATATTTGATTTTCATGAAAGAGGGACTAAATAAATAAGTAAATAGGTAATAATGACAATAGGCCCTTATATAGCAAGAAAAAAAACCCTATAAAAATAAAAAGCTAGGGAAGAAAAGCTGATTAATGAAAAAAATCAAAGAACTGACATATTGATATGAATGATCTACATAAATAATCCTCCAGCTAATCTAAATTAGAGAAGTAGAAAAACAAGTCAAAATCTGTAAGAAAAGTAGAATAATAACAATGATGGAGAGTTAGAAAAATTTAGGGAAATTCTAAGTGCAGAAGGTCCTCCATGTCCACGGGTTCTGCATCTGTAGATATAACCAATCTCGATTCAAAGTAGTTGAAAAACAATTGTGTCTCTACAGAACATAACCCACACGCTTTTCTTGTCATTGTTCCCTAAATAATACACTATAAGAACTACTTACATAACACATTGTATCCAGGGTTATAAGTAATCTAGAGATGTAAAGTGTATTGGAGGATGTATATAGCTTATATGCAAATACTACAGCATTTTGTATAAAAAGACTTCAATATTTGCAGACTTAGGTATCTGCAGGGATACTTTGTGGATACCAAAGGATGGCTATTTATTTCCATACTGATAAATTTGAAAATATCTTTAAAATGAGCTAATTTGAAAGAAAAGAAAAATAGCAAAATTGTCCTAAGAAGCCACAGAGAACTATAAAAGAAACAGGAAAATGATGAGAGTCACCTCTAAAGTAAGAATTGTAGCCAGGGAATTATAGAAGCAGTCTTCATATTTTCAAAGGATAAATATTTCTTGTGATACGTGTACTGTTCCACAGCAGAGAAAGAATTAAAAAGTAGAAAAGCTTGATTTTTATAGAACTAGATTTACTTTACCACCAAAATCTGATAATGCCCACTTATTATAAATCAAACTTATGAAATGAATATATGTGCAAAATCTTACATAAATAATAGCAGATAGAATCTAACCACATATTAATATAATAAATCATAATAGCCAAATGTACTTTATAATAAATCATGATAGCCAAATATACTTTAAAATTCAATTCCAAAAATATAAAAAGTTCAAGGAATGAAGAAATTATTAATAATATTCATCATAGATAAGATTAACAAAGACTTTCAACAGATACTAAATAACATCGGTTAAGTTCAGTATCTTTTGATGACTTACGAGAATGAGACATTCACTGGAAGTAGGAATTTCCCTAGTGTCATAAAGAATATCTTTCAAACCAATCATCAACATTTAACTTCATGACTTCAATGCATATCTTTACCCCCAGAAGTTGATTTGTATTTATTAAGAGTGTTCCTATGTGGAAGGAGGGCCCATATCTTATTGGTTAGCAATTAACAAGAAATCTATGACTCAACAGAGGTTAAGATACCAGGGAAAACACTGAGACAACTCTTTGGACAAAGACAGGAAAAGACCCACCATTTTCACACTCACATGATCATATAACATTGTTCTGTGAACTATGACAATTTCATTCCAACAAAAAGAAATAAGCCAGTCACTTTAGATAGGAGACAGAATTATCATTATCATTGTATGGGACTGACTGATTTGCTACCTGAAGAAAACCAACCAAAACATTAGCACTATCAGGAGAACCCAGTAAGACAGCAGCAACTACCTAGAAACTCTAGTGAAAGAAAGATTGACATTCACAATACCAGCAAAAAATTTATTCTAACTGGAAATAAATTTAATGGTAAATATGTAGGCTCTGTATGGGGATAAGTTCAAATAATAAAAGAAGTTTTGAGTAAACTGAGCATCAGGTCATATCCTGGATAAAAAAGTTAACACTGTAAATGTGTCAGTTCCTCTCTCCAAAATTAATTTTAAGTTCAGAGTAAGTCTAACAAAAATTTCAAAGGAACATTTGTTTAGAGCAGGGATGAATGTTTTAAAATGTCATCTTGGAGGATGACAAGTAAGAAAGCAGGTTATGAAGCTGCAGTAATTAAAACCTGGTGTTGGTGGAGAGTAGACAGATCAAGAGAGGAGAACGTAAAGATCACAGACAGTGGGATGTCTCATCGCTTATGCATGCTAAAGTCACCGGGAAAGGAAAAATAGTTTAGGCAAATACGCTCTTACATGATTACCTAACATGTAAAATGAATGAAAAATGAGTTGCACTCTCGTGTCACACTGAGAACCAAACTGAGCTGAGTGCTAACTTGCGGTGAAGATGTTCTAAGCATAATTTGAAAGGCAGAAGCTATAAAGAAAAAGAGCTTTAGATGAGAGTATCTAGAAATTTCTGGTATAGCTAAAAAATATATACTTAACAAATGTAACAGAAACAAACATAAGCGTAGCACAAACAAGCACAAACATAAATATACAATCAACAAAAAATATCACAAACATAGAAATAGAACTGAAAGGCAAGTGACAAACTGGGACAAGTATTTGTAAAACACTTGCTAGACCAAAGGTTAATATCCTTTACATACAAAGAGGCCTTTCAAATCACTGCAGAACAGAAAACAAACATGAGATGATGGAAAATGGGTGAGTTACAGGGATAAGTAGTTTACAGAGAGTAATTACTCATGGCTGAGAGACTCATGCACATTTTTTCTAGAATTTAAATAAACTCAAGTCAAAAATCCAATATACCATCTTCCATCTATCTAATTAGCCAAGTTAAAAAATGGTGAAGATGCACGACAGAAGACTAGGTGATGGCCGCACTTGCACATGTTAGGTAGAAGAAAAGCTCTGTATAATTTTTTCAGAGGGCAGTTTGACGTGCATATCAAAGGTCTTGAAAGGTGCATGCCTTCTTATCAAGAATTCTATTTCTAGGAGCTTGTCACAGCTATAAGTTTTTGAACAAATGCACAAACCAAATGTCTAGGAGTTTTAAAGACATAATTTAAAAATGATTCTTAAAAAGTTAGGATTAAAAAAGTACAAAGCTCAGGGTTCACTGAAACTTAAAGTACATTCACATAATTGAATATTATACTGTAATTAAAAGGGTGTTGTAGAAGTATATGTTAGAGCTATAAAGATATTCATGGTATATTCTTAGATTAAAAAACAAGTTGCAATACTGTTTGTATTTTGTGATTCCATTTGGCAAAAAAAAATTTAAAAATCAAGACAACATTCCAAAGGACATCTACCAATCTTAATCAGGTAACTAGGTGTTATTTGAGGAATTAGAATTAAGGAAAAATTACTGTTTTCTTCATATTTACTTATTTTTAATTTTAATAATGAACCTGTATCACTTGCAAAATTAAATGTTTATTGGAAAAGATAGGTCTTTTGTTTTTCTTCTTGGCATTTCCCCTACTTCTCCTCCTCTCCAACCCTGCACTTCTGTTTACCTTTATTTCTTCATTGTGGTCCTCTTTGCGCACTTTGCTCTCTGTCCCTTCTCTCTCTTCACTCTCACGCTGTCCTGTGTCCTTCTCCTTTTCCTGTTTCCTCTTCCTTTGCTGCCCCTCTACTTTCTCTCACTTGTCCCCTTTCTCATCCCACACGTGACAGGTCTATGACACATCACTGGAGAATGTGGAGGCTTTTGAGGGCCTGTCTGATTTTTGTAACACCTTCAAGCTCTACCGAGGCAAGACTCAGGAGGAGACGGAAGATCCATCTGTCATTGGGGAATTCAAGGTAAGTTCTTGAGGACATGTTTCTGGGTTACCCGAAGACTGTGGTGCTGCGGCAGTAAGAGAAGAAGGGGGAAGGGTTGTACTCCAGTGACTACAATCATGACCATGGTGCTGATGCTGGCGACCATGTGGGTGGTGGAGGTGGTGATAGGATAGCCAGGGGCTGAATGGTTCCTATGGTGATGACTTTCATAGAAAAGAGAGTAATGGCCATAGGGGCCATTGTGTTTTCGATGATGATAAAAATGGAAGTTTATCTACATTCTTTTCAGGGTCTCTTCAAAATTTATCCCCTCCCAGAAGACCCGTCCATCCCCATGCCTCCAAGACAGTTCCACCAGTTAGCTGCACAGGGGCCCCAGGATTGCTTGGTCCGCATCTACATTGTCCGAGCATTTGGCCTGCAGCCCAAGGATCCCAATGGAAAGGTAACATTTCTAGAGACTCAGTTCCTCTGAAATAGCAGGCATGGGTACCATTGGCCTGTGGAATCTGGATGTGACTTTTGCTTTAGGGAGTTTGCAGAAAGCCAGACAAACATATAGAGAACTGCGATATAACTGGATGGAGTTTGTTAGGGACCAGAGCTTGAGGAGGTCAGAGAAGGCCAACATTAGCACAGGACTTTGGAAGATTCCCAGGAAGGAATAGGACTCAAGGATAGATGGAGTTTTGATAAACTAGGAGGGAGAAGAAAGTAGTGTTTTAAGAGGGATCAAGAGCACAGACAAAGGTTTGAGAGAAGATTGGCTTATTTATGTGTAGAACCAGGGTAAGAATAAGAATAAGTAAGGTTCAAGGTGTAGGTTGGGTGACCATACAGGGCTTCAGTGATGGGTAGGAAGGAGTGAAGGAGGGGAAGAACAGAGTTAATAATGGTTATACCCCGCCATGATAGAGCTGAAGGCAAAAGGAAAACTAGAAGTGCTTATCCTGCCTTTATTTAAAATATTGCTGTTTTGTCCATCATGGACTATTGGCATTAATTTTTAAGATATTGTAATAAAATATCACTTATCTTGATTACTGAGTTTTTGAATCCTCCCTTAAACTTTGTGCCTAAGGCAAAAGACTTAGCTGTCTCACCCTAGTCCTGGCTAGAGATGGAAGAGGGAAATTTTCAGGAGGGAGGAGTCTGGAGCCACAGGGAGACGGTAAGGTGGGACAGAGGAAAGCTGGGGTGCAGGAAAGCAGAGAGGCAGAGGTGGGACTGTTGGAGTTTAGAGATATAGGCTAGGGTCCTTTCTTCTCCTTAGACAGGTCCAGCTCTATCATGTGTCCTTGAGCTGGGGGAGGCTTAACGTCTCACCCCAGTACCTTAGGCTTTCCAGGCTAAGAAATCACGTGATCTCAGGGCAGATGGAATAGTCCTCAGCCTTGGCACCACGGATGTGGCCCATGAGCTGGAGAAAATCTTTCAAGCCTTCTCAGTGCCTCACTAAGCCTGGGCCCTTTGGCTGCGCTGCTCCTGGAGAATGGCTGATGGCCTGCTGCCGCTTGTAGGCAGCGTCCCCAAAACTGGCCTGGGCTGGCCTGGGCAGACATAACGGGGCCATCTCTCTCCTGTTCCATCTGCTTAAACAGAGATTGGAGACGACACCAACCTGGCCGAGTCTCATATGGAATTTAGTCTGTTGTGTGTCTGAGGATGGGGGTCCAGCCCCCACCTGCCTCTCTCAATGGGGCAGCGGATCAGGAGTGTGGAGGACTCTGATACCCTATTCCCCCTACTACAGCTGAGGCTAGAAGCCCATGCCAGTGTTGGGTGGCATGCTGTGGTCTTCAGAATGGGACCTGTGGGATGCAGGATGCAGTCTACATTGAGGCTTCCTAGCGGCAGGCTACCTCGTCCCATTGGGACGCAGAGGATTCAGGAAGACCTAAAGACGTGTTGGGACAGGGATTTCACTTAAGTATTTCTGTGTCCTTCTCCAGTGTGACCCCTACATCAAGATCTCTCTAGGGAAGAAATCAGTGAGTGACCAAGATAACTACATCCCCTGTACTCTGGAGCCTGTATTTGGAAAGTAAGTGGGGAGCAGCTTGGCCTTGGGGAGCAGCAGCCAGTCTGGATAACCACAGTCCAGTAGGTGGACATGGCTACCACTGGGCTGTCCCTCTCCCTGGAGTAGAATTGTGTCCCCTACATCTTGCTTGTCTGTGTGTGCAGCTGCACTAATCCTTTATGCGCCAAAGGCTTAACTCCTGATTAAACATAGAAACACATCTCTAAGATCAAAAGTCTACATGGAAGCTCAAAATATGCATGCATTAATTTTTTAGATGAATTCTTTGGGGGGAGTAATTTTAGATGTACAGAAAAGTTTGAGGGAGAGATAGATAGATAGTAGACAGGTAGAGTTCTCATATATCCTTAACTCAGTTTTCCTCACTGCTAACATCTTAGCTCACTATGGTACTTTTGCCCAAATAAGAAAATTCACACAGATGCATTACTATTAACTGAACCATAGACTTATGAGGATTTCTAGCCTTTTACTGTCCAGAACCACCCAGTATACCATGTTGGATTCAGCGAGTGCTCTTTTTCAGTGTCCCACCTGTGTCTGTGGTGGGGAGCTGTGAGAAGGATGTGGGTCCCAGATAGTCAGATGATTCTGGAAATCTAAGAGTGTGGGAAGGAAGAATCAATGCGCATGGTCTGGGGGTAGCTTCTAGGTGTCCTGATTGCCCTTTGGTTGTGAGCTTATTTTGGCAAAGGGAGGCTGATGGCTACTTCTCTAACATCTGCATAAGAAGCCTAGTGTTTCCACAGCATCAAGTACCACGTTGCATCCGTGACCTGGTGTCTATTTGCTTAGTGTGCTCACTCGGCCTGCAGCCAGGGCCCAGTCATTTTGAGGAAATGCAGTTTTGAAAGGGAAACAATTCTGGCCAGTGATGAGCCACTACTAAGCTGGGATAAGAGGGAAGATGGGGGTGGGGGAGAGGAGCTCTGCTTGGTGTGCTTCAGTGGCTGGCACAGGGCCATGGGCTAGTAGCAGTGATGGGCCATAGATGGAGCTGTCCTAAATGTGTGTGTGTGTGTGTGTGTGTGTGTGTGTGTGCGCGCGCGCACGTGCATGTGCCCAGGACAGGTCAGAGAGTGAGTACAAGAATAGCCCTCCCACTCCTTTTGCCAGTCTCCATGCAATCATGGCCAAAGCTAGTGTGCCCTTTAGATCATAACCCATGAGATAATGATAATACTACTGTACTGTTGCCTGCCAGTACCCTGTAGGGCGAGCCTCCCCCTTTCCTGACTGGACACTGTGGCAGGCTTTTCTGCCCACTTTAAGCTCAGCCACTTCATAAAAGTCACAAACACGGGCAGTCTCAGGGCTGAAGCCAAGATGCGCATTCGTGTGTAGCCTGAACACTCTGATGGCCGCAGGGGAGTGTTTCCCCTTTCTCTGGCCATCTAGGTTACCTGGGTACAGCATGTGGGCAAGTAGGGGGCTATGTCTGCCTCCCTCACCCTGTTTGATGTCCCTTCACCTCTGCCTTAGCCAGCTACCAACCCTGAAAGGCGAGGACTAGGGAAGTTCATATTATGGAGGGGTCCATTCCGTGTGCCATTTGCTTCTGTTGTCTGGACATTCCCTGGGTAACAGATGTTTCAAGTCAATTGATTTTATTGTGGTGCTTTCCAGAGGCTCCCAGACTCCCCTCTGCTCCTCTGTCTCTCCACTGCTCCTCCTGAAGTGGCAGATGCCGCCTTCCTTTAGCTGGCCACTACCCACCTCCTGGCATTCAGACGGTCTGTTGCACATTTGGAACCTTGTGAAGTTCCATGGGGCAAGATTCATAGCAGTTGAATCTGGCCTCCAGGTGGCTCCATCTCTTCCACGCTATGTTCCTCATCCAGACATGGATGGAAGCGCAGCTCCTTCCAAATATCCCCTGCCTCGTCCTTTCTGCTGCTTTAGCACTCTTAAACTCAAGTCGGGCAGCAGGTTTGAAATGAGTTCCCTCCCACATGCAGGGAACTCATTTCAAGGGGACAAGGAACACCACCTCCACCCTGACCCCCACCAAGTGCTCAGACCCCACAGAAGCTCTCTCCCAAGAAATCTTTTCACAAACCCTTACTCCATGCCACCCTAGAAAATGTGCAGCCCCGAAGTCCAGAGGGAAGGTCCTGATACATCCCCTTGGTAGAGTCCAGAGATCTGGCACCTGGCGGTGGAGTTTTATATTTCTTGTCTCCTAGTGTCCTGGTGGAAACTGCAGTCTTAACATTCTGTTCCATCTCATTTGTTTATTCTTGGGTCTTCCAGGCAGACACCTCCTGTGTGCCCCACCTAGTTTATTTGGGAAACATGGCACACGCACGTGCGCGTGTGCGCGCGCGCACACACACACACACACACACATACACACACGGACAAGCCCAGTGCAGTTGTGCAGAGGGGGTGTGTGCTCTAAAGAGGATAGGAGACCTGAGGAGAGTGAACTCCCTGGGACAGCTTTTGAGCTCCTGCCCTCATCCTGTCACTCCTTGAGTTCCCACTGTGTCTGGCGACGTCAAGGAGGTGGTGGGATCATGGTATATTCCTTCCACAGGATGTTTGAGTTGACCTGTACTCTGCCTTTGGAGAAGGACCTGAAGATCACACTCTACGATTATGACCTCCTCTCCAAGGATGAGAAGATAGGGGAGACAGTCATTGACCTGGAGAATAGGCTGTTGTCTAAATTTGGGGCTCGCTGTGGGCTCCCACAGACCTACTGTGTGTAAGTGCTTGACACTGGCTGCTTCCCTCCCAACCTACATCCTCTATCCACTGAGCACTGCTGTGTGCTGGCCCAGGCTTAGCACATCCTCTGACAGTTGCTCCTTGAACCCAGTGGGGGTCTTGTCATTCCTCCACAGATGAAGAAACTGAGGACCCGAGATATTATGGCTTGTAATTTGTGGGATTAGGACTTGAACCCATTTGTCCGATTCTGAGGACCTGGCTCTTTCTTACATTGTTGTAGTCACATCTCTCTGATTTACCACTGAGGCTTGCAGAGGGCTGGAAGGAGAGAGAGAAGGAGGGAGAAAAGAAAAGGAAATGGGGTGGTACACATGGGCTCCAGCTGGGCTTAAGGGGAGTTTTGTGATGGTCTGCCATGGAAATTCACGTATGTGCAGCACCCTCTTTCTACCATAGTGAGTCTTATTTGGATCTGATTCTCTTCCTAGAACTAGAAACATCTGCGTTCCAATTCCATGGGTACTTAAATCCTTTACAGTTTCTTCATCTGTAAAATGGGGATGATAAGTGAGCAGATGAGGTGGGTGATGTGTGGGAGTACACAGATCTTTGCAAGCCTCTGCCCCTGTCAGTGCCCTTGGAGTGCTTCTTCATTGTCTTGTACTTGGGCCTCAGCTCTGGACCGAACCAGTGGAGGGACCAGCTCCGCCCCACCCAGCTCCTCCACCTCTTCTGCCAGCAGCACAGGGTCAAGGCCCCTGTGTACCGGACAGACCGTGTGACGTTTCAGGATAAAGAATACTCGATTGAGGAGATAGGTGAGCTGCCCCTTGGCTCCCAGACTACAGTGGGCTCTCCCTCTCCACTCTTCTCTCGTCAGGACTCTTCTATCATAAAGGGCTAAATGGGTGTAACCCACATCAGCAGGGTGAGGGCTGCGGCACGGAAGAACTAAACTTGCTCTTGGTACTTTTGGGACCAGTACATGCCTGTGATTCCACTGTAAAAATTAGAGGTCAGCGGGTCAAGGTGAGGCCAGGGTCACAGCTCCATCCAAGACCATGTTGGGGTCCATCTAAAGACAAGACTGGGGGTGAGTCTGAAGCCAGGTCAGGGTTAGGATCAGTTTCCTTCTGGCTTTGGTAGTCAGACTTTGGTCAGAGTTTGGGGTGCATCCTTTGAGAAAAAGTTTTCCATTTGAATTGCACGAGGCTCCCAGCTGTTGATGTACCTTCCAAGTCCCCAAACACCTAAACATCCAAAAGGCAGGCACCCCAGTCCCGCCCCAGGCTCTGTCTGACCTTAGTGACTGAGAATGCCCCCACATGCTCTCCATGTGTCTGAGATGCCCACAGGCCTGCATTGCCACCCAGAGCAGCTCATACTCCCTGGAGGTGTTTACAGGCCCAGCTGGCCCCTTACCTTCTGCTTGTTTCAGAGATGTTTGATGTCAGAGCTGGTGCAGAGGTTATAAAAGGAAATGGTGGCTTTGATGCCCCATACCTAAATCCCCCTCCTTCTGCTTGTTCTGTTTTCCTGACTCTCCCAGATCATGGCTGAGCCAGGCTCAGCCAATGGGCACCCCACCCCACCGTACATCACACACACACACGTATTCTGTTTTCCTGTGCAGTGTGCATCTGTTTTAGGGGCCATCTCATTTCCTCCAGTGGCAACTGTTTCTCTCTGAGCAACTTTTAGCACAGTGACCTGGGCTCATGGCCATAAAGCGGTGAGCTGTAACATCTGCCTGCTTTCAAACATGAAGCTATTGAAGTTAAGGGTGGTTAATGGCTTGCCCAAGGTCACCAGCCATCTTGGAGCACAGTCAGATTCCTGGTCCCTGTGGAGTTGTGCCTCTTCCTTTGGGCCCTATGAGTGTGGGCAGGACAGGTTTGATTGGTGAACAAACATGCACTTGTGTGTGTGTGTGTACACATGAGAATCTGGTGTACCAGGGCACACCTGAATGAATATACCTGTGTGTTTGTTTTCTATGTGCGCACACACATATGCTCACTTCCTACTCTACCCAAGGGTCTCTGGCACAGGGTCTCCAAGTTCATGGTGTTGGCTGATAGGCCAGGCTGCTCCATGTCAGGACTTCCCCACGCCTTCTTCCATCCACAGCGTCAAGCCTTGGCCCATCCTCTGGAAGGCAGGAGCCACACCTGGAAAACACTGGGGGAGGAAGGGAGTGGTCAGGGCTGGCCACACATTTTTCCTAATTGAGCTTGGGATTCCAGCTGCCTTGCTGCCCAGGTGTGGGTCTTCTCCACGCTTCAGGTTTCACATCTGTGAAATAAAACTAATAATAGCACTTAGCTTCCAGGTCCTTATAAAGATTCTGCTAAAATATATCAGAACAGTGCCTAGCACATGGCTCACACTCAAGTGCCTGCTGTTTTTGCTGTTATTTTTTCTAGTGCTACTAATAGGATGGTTTATGTGAACCAGAGCATAGTGTAGTAGCACTCAGGCAGCAGATCTAGGGGTACAGGTTGCTGAGGCTTGGAGTTGGAAATAGCCAGAGAAGGCTTCCTGGATAGAACAGGCTTCAGTAGACAAAGAGGATCTGTGTTGGTGGAGAAGAGGAAGTAGAACTTTGCAGAAGAGGCTTGGTAGACATTGTATCAGGGGAATCATGAATTTTAAGCCAGGAGCCTGGTTTCTCCCATAGAAAGTGAGACATAAGGACCAGAACAAGGGTCTCTGGGCTGGGGTGAGACTGTTGGGGTGGGGGTTTCCTGTGGTTGTCAAGTGGTCCTGCCCAACCCGTGCATAGGGAAGCCCTGCCGTCTTTCAGGCACTTGGCAACTTTTTGTCCCCTCTCTGAGCCAGAGGCTGGCAGGATCCCGAACCCACACCTGGGCCCAGTGGAGGAGCGTCTGGCTCTGCATGTCCTTCAGCAGCAGGGGCTGGTTCCTGAGCATGTGGAGTCACGGCCCCTTTACAGCCCTCTACAGCCAGACATTGAGCAGGTACAGCCTTGACCCTTGGATTCCTTGCACCCCAGAGAACCCTGCCACAAGGACAGCATGGACATCTGGACAGCCCAGTGGGGGCCTTGGGTGTGGCCAGTTCTTCCTTGATCCATTTCTTTGCAGTCTGAGTGTTCGCTACTGCTGACCCATGAGGAATCTCAGGGTCTGGTGTCTTCTCCTACCTCATTGTGGGGGGAACCAGGCCAAGTACCTCTTTCAGCCCTGCTTAGCCAGCTGCTGACTTCGGTCTGACATTTGGGAGATGGCTGTTTCAATCTGGCTTCAGATGTCCTCTTGCCTTCTACCCTCATTCAGTGGCTCAGTCTCAGGTGCCCAGCTCTGTGCAGTGGGGTGTTCAGACCGAGTGGCCAGCACCATAGGACAAAATGGCAAAGAAATCCACAGTGATCAGTCAACAACAGGGCTGGGTGCCCTCCCATGCCACAGGAGGGTGGACACAGATAGCAGGCTTAAGACTGGGCAGGGAAGGCTTCCTGGAGGAAGCGAGCTCAGAGATGGGTTCCAGAAGAGAAGGAGCGAAAGGGACACACTCAAAAAGAAAGGCCATCTCTGAGAAGCCTGCCCAGGCAAGTGGACTGCAGAGGCAGAGGATTTCCTTTGCAGCTGGCTCTGCAGTCCTTTGTTCAGCATCCATGCCCTACAGGGTGGTGAGCTTCTTCCTAGCAGACCTGGGCTTTCTCTGTCCTGCTGCCCAAGTGCCTGGCACAGAGCAGGTGCTCAGTAACTGTTGCTGGATGAAAGGGTGGTAGAATGGGCTTATGTCTCCTCCACAGGGGAAGCTGCAGATGTGGATTGACCTATTTCCCAAGGCCCTGGGGCGACCTGGACCTCCATTTAACATCACCCCCAGAAAAGCCAGAAGGTGACTGACAGCCACGGGCTCTGAGCTGAGCTGGAGGTGGGAGGGTAGAAGCCAGCTATGGATGGGGTCAGGAGGTGACCCTTTGGCCAGGCTTTGGGACACTTGGGTTTCAGAGTATGGATTCTGTTTGGACCTGGCTGAGTCTCCAACCAGGTGGGCATCAGGTCTGGGATGAAGCAGCTGCTCAGCAGAGGATGTCCCATGCCCTGGTGGGAAATCTATTTGGATTTGATCCCCTGCCCAGGTTTTTCCTACGCTGTATTATCTGGAACACCAAAGATGTGATCCTAGACGACCTCAGCCTCACAGGGGAGAAGATGAGTGACATTTACGTGAAAGGGTAAGAGCCATCCGCCTTCCACCTGTGCCAGCTCACAGGAATGTCCCTGCTCCCTTGGGAGGGACCCAGCCGAAAGAGCTCTGCAGCTCGGAAGGGGAGGCAGCAAGCTTCGAAGGAGGGTCTCATGGGGTAGACTTCACCTTTGGGAATGGTCCACCGTCCATCCAGATGTCTTCAGCACTCACTTTTGGGCTGAAATTGCAAGATGTGAGGACATCTTTTGAGAGTGGCTGAGAAGTTAAGCATTTTCTAATTTATGGTGCATTTCATGCATCATGAAATTTCCCTAGGAATTCTATTTGCAGTACTGTTTACCAAGTTCTTTACCATTGTTTACCATTGTGATTCCTCATGGGAGGTATACATGAAGAGGAAATCTAATGAGACAGGACATCTATATATGTGTGTCTAGTTGGATGGTCGGCTTTGAAGAACACAAGCAGAAGACAGATGTGCATTACCGATCCCTGGGTGGTGAGGGCAACTTCAACTGGAGATTTGTTTTCCCCTTCGACTACCTGCCAGCTGAGCAGATGTGCTCCATTTCCAAGAAGGTGGGTGTCCCTCCTGGTCTAGTGCCCCTGGTCTCAGGGTTTACACTGCCTGCATGATCCCATCACCCCTGTCCCCTCACTGCCTCTGTTATTCCCAGCATCATTGTGGACACTCCCAGCCCTGCTCTCATTACCTCTAAAGCTATCATTACCTCCCCTGCAGCTCGTTTTCCCTCCTCTTTTACCACCATTGCCGTCACTAGCACTGCCATCACCCATGATCACTCTACAGCCATACATGCCCCATCCCTTATGTGTAGCTAAGTCTAAATCCCACAGCCACTGTCTTCCTTCCTATCCCAGACAAACCCAGCGGCAGGAAGAGCCCGGGGTCCAAGTGGGAGGAGTCAGGACACTCAGCATGGCCATCCAAAGGTCCCGTGGACCCTGTTGGAGGAGCTTCCCTAGAGCACTGGCCTGGCGTGTGATGGGGTTGTCCATAGCACTAAGGATGGTGTGGTTAAGCCCTTCTAGCTACCTTGTCTCCCACAACTGTCTGGTGCTTGTGGTCCTGTCCAGGCTGGATAGTCATTGGGAAAAACTGCTCTCTGGACCTGCCTGCCTCTCTTCACCCCTCGTCTCTTGTGGAAGGTACCTGGGGGACAGGCCAGCACAGCCAGAGGGGAGAGGTAGATCTGATGACCTCAGTCTCTGTACTTGAGCATCTCCTAGTTTAGGTCTCATCTGGGTCTTTTTGCCCCTGAAACAGGCAGGGTGCTCAGGTAGGTGTCTACTGACTGCATCAGGGAACAGCACAAAGGGGGTGTTATTGGCACTAAGGGCCTCCAGGGCAGGCTGGCAGAAGGCAGAGGTCCTGCCAGGTCTTTTAACTTTAAACCCTCATCCCACCTAGTATTGATTGCTACCTGGAGGTGCCTTGTTGTTCAAGGGGGCAAATGTCTGGTTAAGCCCCGCTGGTCTGATATCCATCCAGTTCAAGGCTTCAAGCCTTGAAGCTTCTGTGGCATGGCTTCAAGCAGGGAACTACAAAATGTTCTTGGGCCGCCTTGCTCTTCTTAATTCTCTTCATTGCATCCTCTCTGCTGGATCCTTCCCAACCCAACACATAGGATCATCTGCACTTTAGAGAAACCAAAATGTTCCACTGAACATTCTGAAACCATCAAGCAAAAGAAATTATGGATTAAGCAAGGTTAAGTGGATTCTTTCACCCAGGGATTGCTGCGTAGTGTCTGCCAGAAGGGAGAGTTTAGCAATAGGGTTCTGTGAAGTCAAGGAAAGTGTAGGCCATTTGTAGGTTTAATCTTGTTTGCCTTTGCTCAGTGTGTTTGCCTGTCACAAGCCTGTTTCCATAACAAAGCAGCTCTGCTTCTGCCAGAGACCAGCACATCAAGCAGGCCCTGCTGGCCTGTCTTGGCTGTCAACAAGGGAGGATGGGGCCGAAAGTAGACAGGGGAGGGCTGAGGTGTCCTGCACACCACCTACTGGCTTGCAGAGCCCTGTGAGGGGCTGGGCATGGAATGGGGAAACTGAGACCTGCTCAAATGGGAGACAGGACAACTCACTTTGATAGGTGGGCATGTGGGAAGGAGTGGCAGGAGGGGAGGTTCTTGCTTTTCCTACAGAGTAAGAGCAGAGGGAGAGTCTGACCCCATGGCAAATGGAAAAGGCTAGAAATAGCTGTCCTGCTGATGAGCGAGAAATGGAGGGAGAAGAGACGCGGCAGGGGAGAGAGCGCTGACTGGTACCACAGAGAAGAGCTACCTTGCAGTTCTGAGGGCTCAGCTGGAGCTGCTGAGTGAGGACTTGGCATGGCTCCACTCTAGCGCTGGCGGAGTTCTGGCCCTGGTAAGACAGGATGGCTGTGTTGGGTGGGTCCACAAGGCTAGTTTCTGAGGATGGCTGCATTCACAGGCATTGGTGGGCCTGATGGCCCAGTGGCCTGGGCTTAAAGGAAAGAGATGCCCATGAGAGCAGGAGTGGAGAAGAGGGAGAGGAGTTAAAGAGTGAGGGAGAGGTAGAGTTGGAGAAGAGCAGAAAACAGGTCCCTCCTGACCCAGGCTCTGGGGAGAGGGTGGCTGGAGGCAGCTGCTGGGAAGGCCAGAGGAGGAGGGGAGGGGACAGAAACAGGCCAGGTGGGCCTGAAGTCAGCCAGGAGGCAGGAGGGCCTGCAGACGCCTCTTGGGGAGAAGGAACCCTGAGAAGCAGGTGGAGCCGGGCCCACAGTGGGGTACCAATTAGCTGGTCTGGGCTAAGGACAAGTCTGAGTATGAGGCAGGTTAGTGCAGGGGCTGCTCACCCTCTGGGCTCCCTGGGCTGCTGCAGAGCCAGCCCTCTGCCTTGGGGCTCAGGGCCTCTGGCAGGCAGGCCCTCCAGGGACTCCATTAACCAGACGAGACTGTCGTAAAATACAAGGTCTCCTTTCATCCGACTGCTTTGAACCTCCACTGGTTGCCCTGGCCGGCTCCCCACCTGGAGCCCAGCACACCCACCGGGGCCTGCCTGTATGTTAGGCACCCACCCTGCAAATAAACAGCTAGTAAAAGGGCCCAGGCCAGGAGCATAATGAGCGCCTGGGACCTGGGGGGCTCGTTCCCCAGGCTGGAGCCCCTGCCCAGCTGCTCCCACCAGGGGCCGTTTGAACCTCTGGCTCATTACCCAGCCCATAAACCCGGCCGGCCAGAGGAGCGAGGCTGCTTGTGCCCTGCAGGCGGGCCTGCGGAGCTGCCATAAAAGCTTGTCAGAGGAGGAGGCACCTGCAGGAGCCTGGACAGCCAGGCTGGGGCCCGGAAGGGGGAGGCCCCAGACAGAGGCGAGGGCCAGGGGCCAGCTGGGAACCTGTGTGTCTCCACCAGCCCAGGAGCAGTCTGGGCTATGGGTGGGGTGTCGTGCACGGTGACCATGCCTCACTGGCAGTGGCCATGGCCTTCAGTCAGGGAGCTCTGTGGCGCTGTGTGACTGGACACTGAAGCTGGGTGGCCACGCAGCTCTCTTGTCAGCAGAGTACCCTGACTCCCCTTGGAGCCTATCCCTATAGACGGGTGCAAGGCCCTGCTCTGACTTCCTCCCAAGACCTTTTCTTCTCCTACCTGCTTGGGATAGTCACAGTGAGAGAACGGAGGATAGGCCATGGTGGCGAAAAAGCCCAGTTACAATCCTTCGGCTTGAGTTTAGGTTGAGTGTGATCCAGTGGCCAACTCAAGCCCATTCCCCTCAGTTGTTCCATGAGGCCTCTGACAGAGCCTCCCAGGATGCCCCGGTTCCTGGTGGAGCTAGAGGGGAAGAAGGGCCTGGACTGTCCTTCCGGCATAAGTGCAGGGCCTTCCTGCACAGGGGAAGCTCTTGGAGGTAAAAGGGGGTGGTGAGGACGGCTCAGGGGTCCTGGTCCCAGTGCCAGCTCTTTACGGCAGTGTGTCATGGTTCCTTCCAGTAACAGCGAGAGTAGTGGGGACCTCCAGCCTCTCAGCCAGTCCACCGTGACCTCATGATCACATATAGAGAGCGAGTGGGTCAGTGCAAGGGGTGAGAAGCCTCTGCCATCTCCTCCAGATAGCTTTCCAGGCTGGAGCGACCTCTGCCTCTCTGACTTTGCTTCCTTTTCCCTTCTCTGCCCTTGTCTGGGTCAGGACGCCTTCTGGAGGCTGGACAAGACTGAGAGCAAAATCCCAGCACGAGTGGTATTCCAGATCTGGGACAACGACAAGTTCTCCTTTGATGACTTTCTGGGTGAGCTTCATTTCCGGTCAGCTCTGAGCTGCACTTTGAGGGCTGCCTTGGAACCCCTGCTGTGGGTGCGAACTCTTGGGGTTTCCAGTAGGAGTATGGTCCTGCTTTCTTCCTGTAGAGAGCTCAGGGTCTCTGAGTCCTCAGTGCTGAGTGAAGTGTATGACACACAGCAGTGACAGGGATATCAGAGTGGCATTGGGGCGGGCCGTCAGCAGAGGTGGCATCAAGCACCAAGCTGTGTTGGGTGTGAGGAGACAAGGCCATAGGCTGAAGCAGCTCAGGTGTGTATGGGCTGTTGTGACTGCCTAGCCTCATGGGTCCCAAGGTGCTCCCACCTCATCCCAGTCTAGACAGACTGAGCCCAGAAATTGAGGGCTCAGCCACTGTCATCCTTGTGGCCAAGGACTGATCCAAGGAAAAGGGGATTAGTGGAGCAAAATAAGGTCCATCTGTAGGTTCGAACATCAGATGTCGGCACAGATAGATAACTAGTGACCAGAAAGAATGCCTTAAAATATTGCATTTTCCAAAGCTCAGGATATAAAACAGCATATATAATATAAACCCATTCATATACCTGCATATATGAATATATATGTATACCACACATGTATGTGCACACAAATGCATGCAATGTATGTTTGTTTATATCTGAAATAATGCATAATACAATGGTATATGCCAAATGTTAGTGGAGGTTATCTCTGGGTAGTGTGATCAAGGTGTTGGGAAGAAGTATTGCTTGTCTATATTGTTCAACAGGAATTAGATATAGAAAATGTAAAAAACAAAGTTCAAATTTGGTGCCATCAGTTTTAGGCCTGCCTGACTATTGTACAACAAAGTCTGCTGCAGCTCCTAGTCCTCTATGTGCTGATGGCTAGACTATAAGTGGCAGGGGGCAGGGACAGGAAGAGCAGCCCTGCCCTGCTCAGAGCTGTTCCTCAGAATGCTCCCTGCAGGGTCAAGGGCTCAGCAAAGACCAGCTCCCCATTTCTGCAACCAAGGGCGACCCAGGAGGGCATCAGTGGTCTCCCCAAGGCCACCCTGCTTCCGGGTGGCAGAGTAGAACTAGAAGCTGGGTCTCCTGACTTCCCAGGCTGCCTTTATCATGGCTTCACGTTTTTTTCAATTGAGGTAAAGTTCACATAACATAAAATTCACCACTTTAAACATTTTCAAGTGTGAAAATTGGTGGTTTCTCGTATATTCACAGAGTTGTGCAAACATTACCACCATCTAGTTGCAGAACATTTTCATCACCCTCAAAAGAAACCTCTGTACCCAAGTGCAGTCACTCCCTGCTCTCCCTGCTAGCAGCCCCACTAATCTGCTCTTCCTCTCTCTCTGTCTGCCTGTGGGCCATCTTCAGATTTTCCAGCGACACCCCTGCTCATACATCTTTGGACCCTTTGCTTTCCTTACCTCTAGGAAGTAGGTTTGTGAGTTTTTGCCCAGTTTAGTGTATTTTTTTAGTAACATGTTGTTCAATTGCCCTTCAGAAAGGATTTTACTTTTTTATATTTCTTCCTATGCTCTATTTGTACCAGAGCACCATTTCCTCCAAACTTTTGCTACTGTTGCTACATTTTAAATATTGCCAACACAATCTCTCGTTTTTATTTCTTATTTGCTTCTATTACTTGCAAGATAAAAATTTAAAAACATAGCTGCTATTCATATTATGGATGAACCTTTTCTGCATGGCTTTGGGATGTTCTTTTCTTTT